ATACAGTGTATGTTAGTAATTAGGCAATCATCCCTTCATATTTTCAAACCAGCGCCTGAAGAAAAGTTTTAGAACTCGGTAAGATCTTTCCAACGAGATATTAAACGCTTTCAACGGCACAAAATAGAGCAAGATATGATCACATCAAATTCTACACGAGTTCGGAGTGAAATCAGAAACATTTGTGAATATATGGTTAATCCGTAACTTTTAATTAATGCATTGTAAATGAAGTTGGAACAATAGCTTTAGAGCTCCGATCTATCTTTCCAACGATATATAATACGCTCAGATTTGATAAACACACAGCAAGATATGAGTGTCACAAATACTTAGCCTTATCTCTATGATTTTGCGTTTTCAGCGAAAATAGAGCACTTTTAACGTAAATGTAGTGTATTTTATTATTAGGCAATCATCCCTTGATATTTTGAAACCAGCGCCTGAAGACATGTTTTAGAACTCGGTAAGATCTTTCCAACGAGATATTAAACGCTTTCAACGGCACAAAATAGAGCAAGATAAGATCGCATCAAATTCTACACGAGTTAGGAGTGAAATCAGAAACATTTGTGAATATATGGTTAATCTGTAACTTTTAATTAATGCATTGTAAATGAAGTTGGAACAATAGCTTTAGAGCGCCGATCTATCTTTCCAACGAGATATAATACGCTCCAAACGGATAAACACACAGCATGAGTGTCACAAATACTTAGCCTTATCTTTATGATTTAGCGTTTTCAGCGAAAATAGAGCACTTTTAGCGTAAATACAGTGTATTTTAGTAATTAGGCAATCATCCCTTCATATTCTGAAACCAGCGCCTGAGGACAAGTTTTAGAACTCGGTAAGATCTTTCCAACGAGATATTAAACGCTTTCAACGGCACAAATTAGAGCATGATATGATCGCATCACATTCTACACGAGTTCGGAGTGAAATCAGAAACATTTGTGAATATATGGTTAATCTGTAACTCTTAATTAATGCATTGTAAATGAAGTTGGAATAATATCTTTAGATCTCCGATCTATCTTTCCAACGAGATATAATACGCTCCAAATGGATAAAAACACATCAAGATATGACTGTCACAAATACTTAGCCTTATCTATATGATTTAGCGTTTTCAGCGAAAATAGAGCACTTTTAGCTTAAATACAGTGTATTTTAGTAATTAGGCAATCATCCCTTGATATTTATAAACCATTGACTGAAGACAAGTTTTAGAAGTCGGTAAGAGCTTTCCAACGAGATATTAAACGCTTTCAACCGCACAAAATAGAGCAAGATATGATCGCATCAAATTCTATACGAGTTCGGAGTGAAATCAGAAACATTTGTGAATATATGGTTAATCTGTAACTTTTAATTATTGCATTGTAAATTAAGTTGGAACAATAGCTTTAGATCTCCGATCTATCATTCCAACGAGATATAATATGCTCGAAACGAATACACACACAGCAAGATATGAGTCTCAAAAATACATAGCCTTATCTCTATCATTTAGCGTTTTCAGCGAAAATAGAGCACTTTTAGCGTAAATACAGTGTATTTTAGTAATTAGGCAATCATCCCTTGATATTTTAAAACCAGCTACTGAAGACAAATTTTAGAACTCAGTAAGATCTTTCCAACGAGATATTAAACGCTTTCAACTGCACAAAATAGAGCAAGATATGATTGCATCAAATTCTACACGAGTTCGGAGTGAAATCAGAAACATTTGTGAATATATGATTAAGCTGTAACTTTTAATTAATGCATTGTAAATGAAGTTGGAACAATAGCTTTAGAGCTCCGATCTATCTTTCCAACGAGATATAATACGCCCCAAACGGATAAACACACAGCAGGATATGAGTGTCACAAATACTTAGCCTTATCTCTATGATTTAGCGTTTTCAGCTAAAATAGAGCACTTTTAGCGTAAATACAGTGTATTTTAATAATCAGGAAATAATCCCTTGATATTTTGAAACCAGCGCCTGAAGACAAGTTTTAGAAATCGGTAAGATCTTTCAAACGATATATTAAACGCTTTCAACGGGACAAAATAGAGCACTTTTAGCGTAAATACAGTGTAGTTTAGTAATTAGGCAATCATCCCATAATATTTTGAAACCAGCGCCTGAGAGAAAGAATCGTTGAGAGAGTGTCTCTCCTGGGTCTTCCGACCTAGCTCGATTTCCGTTCATCCCATGGCCTGCGTTTCCCGATTCCGTGTAATTGCTGATTGAAAGATGGGGTATTCTTGCTGGTGGTAGGCGGATTCAACCTTGTTCGTCCCTGAATCTCATTTGGAAAGGGAATTTTAGCCAAACAACGAAGAAAGTAGACCTAATGCGACGACCTAAAATCATGGTTGGTTCGCTCTGATTTTTCGTTTCATACTGTTTATTTCTGTTGTGCTGCTGCTAGAGGGTCATTTCGATTCCAGTGGTTTGTCCGATGACGGGCTCTCTTCTCTGCGATTTTGGCCCTTTTTCTCTGCGATTCTGAGCACTGCGTTTTGTTTGGATTTGAGCTGTTTGTGTTTGCTTTGAACCGTGTGTGCTGTGTCTTCTTTGTACCGTTTTTGGTTACTGTTCTCTGCTCTGCATTTTTCTATCCCATGGCGAGGAAGAAGGTACAGGGGTCGAGTGAAGCGTCTTCAGCCAGGATAACCAGGTCCAAGTTCTCCGTTTTGGAAGACTCAGACATTGAGTTCCCTGCTTTGGCGCAAACTGTGAAAACTAATGCAGGGGATGGAAACAATTCGGTTGGGGTTGATTCTACTCCTGGTTTGGCAGCTGCTGCACCTGGGATTTCCAAGAAATCTGTATGCCCTGCTGTAGCCTCCAATATGCCTTCCATAGGAATTGTTGTTGCTGGGCAGACTGTTTCTTCTACAAAGAAACTGCAGGCTAGCTCCAAACCTGGAGCTAATCTTCCACTCAGTCCTGGGATACAGGGAACTGCAATTGAACCTACTGCCTTTAAACCAACTGCTGCAACTGTGAAGACAAAGCTTGGGCCTGCTGAAGGAAAATCTGACACAAGACAGATTGATGTTAGGGACAAAGAACTAGGAGCCAATCCCGAACCTTGGAGGGCTCTTTTTAAGGACAACCGGGATCCAACTCATGGCATCAAATTGAAATTTGTCCCTCCCAAAGGAGATACTTTGGACTTTGGTGATCGTATTTTACCCTCCATGGTTGAAATGTGGGGTTTTTGTCTAGTAGGGCACTTCACCGGAAAATTCCCCGGACTCAAAGCGGTGCATGATCTTAGAGCTAAGTGGGGTGTGAAATGCTTTGTGAGGTCCCACAACAAGGGATGGGTAATCTTTAAATTTACAAATGAGGAGGATAGATTGAAAGTACTTCATGATGGACCTTACATGGTTTTTGGGAAACTCCTAATGCTCAAAGTACTTTCGGAAGATTTTTCCTTTGAAGATGAGGAATTCCTTAAAGTGCCAATTTGGGTCAAGTTCCCCAAACTACCAATGCAACTTTGGAACGATGAAGCTATGAGTGAGGTGGCTTCCATGGTTGGAGTCCCCATTACTACGGACAAGGTCACTCAAGAGAGGACGAATAATGAATTTGCTAGAGTGTTAATCGAAGTTGATGTTTCAAAGCCACCACCACTCTCTTTCCCTATACGACTACCTTCAAAAAAGGTATTCAAACAAAGTGTGCTTTATGAAACTTTTCCTAATTATTGTTTTGATTGCAAAGAATTCGGGCACCACCCTTTTATTTGCAAAAACCTCGCCAAAACGGTTGATGGAGATAGTGTGCAAGACCCAATTGTTGAAACCAATGAGGATTTAGGACTGGGGGCTTCTCGGCCAGTACCTGCTGCCCAGGGAAACCCGACTGGGTCCCCCCCCAGCCCGACCGGGTCCTTAAAAATTTCTGAACCAACTGCTGCACAGGAGCCTTCTCACCCGACCGGGGGTGGCCCTGACCCGACCGGGTCTAAAGGGCAGATTGCTACAATTGGTTCTTCGACGAAAAGTGCAGCCACCCAACCGGCCAATGATGATGAGTACTCCGATACTGAGTGGGAAGATACTGAGAGGTTTGTGGTGGATGAAAAGGAATTGAGGCTTGATGATGTTGTCATCAGAGTTGTGATCACCAAAGATAAGACTTTCAAGTTCGTTGTCAAACCGTTTAAGTTCGTTTACTCGAGTGTGGTTAGAGTGGATACTTCGCTTCAGCTTACGGACGATTTGGATGGGAAAGGCCTTACTTTCTTGACCAAATGTCTTGAGGCGTTGCCGGGAGTAGCTAAAAAGAAAGGGGAGATCTGTTTTGACTCTAGGTTCACTTCTCCGTTCCGAGTTTTCTTTGGAATCTAAATTAGGGATACCTAACTTTGTGTTAGCTTGAATTTAGTTTTTGAATCTGTTGTGTTTGGGTTTATTATGCTGAATTTAGGAGGATGCATTTACTTGATTTTGTGGTATCCTATTTCTAGGATATGCACTTTTATTGTAACATTAACTTGTTATTTTCTTGGGTGTTAATATATACTTACATTTCATCCAAAAAAAAAAAATTGAAACCAGCGCCTGAAGACAAGTTTTATAAATCGGTAATATCTTTCCAAAGAGATATTAAACGCTTTCAACGGCACAAAATAGAGCAAGATATGATCGCATCAAATTCTACACGAGTTCAAAGTGAAATCAGAAACATTTGTGAATATATAGTTAATCTGTAACTTTTAATTAATGCATTGTGAATAAATTTGGAACAATAGCTTTAGATCTCCGATCTATCTTTCCAACGAGATATAATACGCTCCAAACAGATAAACACACAGAAAGATATGAGTGTCACAAATACTTAGCCTTATCTCTATGATTTAGCGTTTTCAGCGAAAATAGAGCACTTTAAGCGTAAATACATTGTATTTTAGTAATTAGGAAATCATCCCTTTATATTTTGAAACCAGAGCCTGAAGACAAGTTTTAGAACTCGGTAAGATGCCTGGAGAAACCGAGGAGGGAGAAGTTGAGAGCGTCTCTCTCTAGCCATTCGCGGCTAGACTCTTCCCCTCACGGTTTTTCTTCAGGTCGGCACCACCACACACGGCGGCCGCCGCCGCCGGGGCCCTCCTGGCTCCGGCGGGTCTGAGGTTCCATGGTTACAGTTCAACTTAGGGATGACCTATGAGTTTTTTGAAACTTCGTGCAACCCGAAAGGAGGGCTAGAATTGCAACAGCCACCACCGTCTCCATTGATGGTCATGGTGATGTGTCTGGTTACGTTCCCAACTTGGAGGGGTTTGACTTGTACGATTCTGGATATGGGGATGGATGGTGGTCTGGAGCACTTTTTGAGAATCCTGGAAGGTTTGTCATTTGGGGAGCTGATAGCCGGAGAAGACGACTGGGGGGATTGGTGCGACTACAAGGCCTTCTATGTGTTATTCTCTGGTAAGGAATTCTTTCTGTGTATTTTACTTAGAAAGCAACCTGGGGTCGACGGAGAAGACCACCGTACTGCTGGGGTTGGAACCGTTGGGTGCTACTTTTCGTCCGGCTACTGTCCTACCGCCCTCTAACACTACCTACCATTGCCGTTTGGGGTCGCCGGGGTCAAGCGGGGGTGGGGGTGAAAGGGGGGTTACCGGTTGGGCTTGGTTACATTTCCGGCTGTTTTATGTTTGTTCTATCTCTGTTCTCTGGCCACCGGAAAGCCTGGTTGACGCTGGAGCCAGGTGGGGGGGGGTCTGGAGGGGGAGGGTGTTTTGGATGACAGTTTTTCCGGAGAAGAGGAACGGGGGCTCTGAAGCGATTACAGGGTGACCGGAGATGATCTTCGAGGTTGTGTGACGTTCTGGTTGCGTTAAGTTTTCCTGAAATCATTTTGGGTTTCGCTGGGGATAACCATCGTCGTGCTGGGGTTGGAACCGCCGGACGCTACTTTCCCGGCTGGTTACGCACTCTATTACTCTCCTGCCTGACCGCCGGGAAGCCACCGGGACCTGGTGGGGTAGGGGGGAAGTGGGTGGTCACGAGCGAGCGTGACGGATCTGGATTCTTTGGCTACTTGTGACCGTCCGGTACTCGCCGGTGACGACGTTCAATAAGTCAACGGCCACTGACTGATGGCATTGATTGGACCGCCTGACATCTGTCGGTTTCTGTAGCAACACGTGGGTTCGAATTTGAAATTGGGGGCTTACTGCTGCGGCGCTGGGATGGATGTGATGAGCTGTTGGGCTGATCTTTCTAAACCCTAGCCCGAATGCTGGTATGTGCATAGGTATTGGGCTTTTTTGTGGACTTCGCTGCTGCTGGTTTTTGGGCTTTACTGCTGCTGCTAGTTTGTGGGCTGCACTGCTGCTACTGATTTTATGAGCTTCGTTGCTAGCTTTCTGCTTTGGGAAGATGGACTGTAGAGATTGACTTCTTGGGCTATGATTTTTGCTGGAATTTCCCATTATGGGCTTTTGATGTATTTTGATGAATGAGCCGGGGCATGTCCCATGCCATTCTTGGAATGTATTTTGGAAACAAAAAAATCCTATCTCCCCTACCCCTGCTGTAAAGTGGGGGGGGGGTGTGAACGGTAGTTAAGATTAGTTTACTAGCTTAGATAGTTAATTTTGACACATGTATTGTTACTTTTGGATGATTTTTATAATATACTTACATTTTATCCAAAAAAAATAGAACTCGGTAAGATCTTTCCAACGAGATATTAAACGATTTTAAAGGCAAAAAATAGAGCAAAATATGATCGCATCAAATTATACACGAGTTCGGAGTGAAATCAGAAACTTTTGTGAATATATGGTTAATCTGTAACTTTTAAATAATGCATTGTAAATTAAATTGGAACAATAGCTTTAGATCTCCGATCTATCTTTCCAATGAGATATAATACGCTCCAAACGGATAAACACACAGCAAGATATGAGTGTCCCAAATACTTAGCCTTATATCTATTATTTAGCGTTTTCAGCGAAAATAGAGCACTTTTAGCGTAAATACAGTGTATTTTAGTAATTAGGAAATCATCCCTTGATATTTTGAAACCAGCGCCTGAAGACAAGTTCTAGAACTCGGTAAGATCTTTCCAACAAGATATTAAACGCTTTCAGCGGCACAAAATAGATCAAGATATGATCGCATCAAATTCTACACGAGTTCGGAGTGAAATCAGAAACATTTGTGAATATATGGTTAATCTGTAACTTTTAATTAATGCATTGTAAATGAAGTTGGAAAATAGCTTTAGAGCTCCGATCTATCTTTTCAACGAGATATAATACGCTCGAAACGGATAAACACACAGCAAGATATGAGTGTCACAAATACTTAGCCTTATCTCTATGATTTAGCGTTTTCAGCGAAAATAGAGCACTTTTAGCGTAAATACAGTGTATTTTAGTAATCAGGCAATCATCCCTTGATATTTTGAAAACAGCGCCTGAAGACAAGTTTTAGAACTCGGTAAGATCTTTCCAACGAGATATTAAACGATTTCAACGGCACAAAATAGAGCAAGATATGATCGCATCAAATTCGACACGAGTTCGGAGTGAAATCAGAAACATTTGTGATTATATGGTTAATATGTAACTTTTAACTAATGCATTGTAAATGAAATTGGAACAATAGTTTTAAAGCTCCGATCTATCTTTCCAACGAGATATAATACGCTCCAAACGGATAAACACATAGCAAGATATGAGTGTCACAAATACTTAGCCTTATCTCTATGATTTAGCGTTTTCAGCGAAAATAGAGTACTTTTAGCGTAAATACAGTGTATTTTAGTAATTAGGCAATCATCCCTTGATATTCTGAAACCAGATCCTGAAGACAAGTTTTAGAACTCGGTAAAATCATTCCAACGAGATATTAAACGCTTTCAACGGTACAAAATAGAGCAAGATATGATCGCATCAAATTCTACACGAGTTCGGAGTGAAATTAGAAACATTTGTGAATATACGGTTAATATGTAACTTTTAATTAATGCATTGTAAATGAAGTTGGAAAAATAGCTTTAGAGCTCCGATCTATCCTTACAACGAGATATAATACGCTCCAAACGGATAAACACACAGCAAGATATGAGTGTCACAAATACTTAGCCTTATCTCTATGAATTAGCGTTTTCCACGAAAATAGAGCACTTTTAGCGTAAATACAGTGTATTTTAGTAATTAGGCAATCATCCCTTGATATTTTGAAACCAGCGCCTGAAGAAAAGTTTTAGAACTCGGTAAGTGCTTTCAAACGAGATATTAAACGCTTTCAACGGCACAAAATAGAGCAAGATATGATCGCATCAAATTCTACACGAGTTCGGAGTGAACTCAGAAACATTTGTGAATATGTGCTTCATCTGTAACTTTTAATTAATGCATTGTAAATGAAGTTGGAACAATAGATTTAGAGCTCCGATCTATCTTTCCAACGAGATATAATACGCTCCAAACGGATAAACACACAGCAAGATATGAGTGTCACAAATACTTAGCCTTATCTTTATGATTTAGCGTTTTCAGCGAAAATAGGGCACTTTTAGCGTAAATACAGTGTATTTTAGTAATTAGGCAATCATCCCTTCATATTCTGAAACCAGCGCCTGAGGACAAGTTTTAGAACTCGGTAAGATCTTTCCAACGAGATATTAAACGCTTTCAACGGCACAAATTAGAGCATGATATGATCGCATCACATTCTACACGAGTTCGGAGTGAAATCAGAAACATTTGTGAATATATGGTTAATCTGTAACTCTTAATTAATGCATTGTAAATGAAGTTGGAATAATATCTTTATATCTCCGATCTATCTTTCCAACGAGATATAATACGCTCCAAATGGATAAAAACACATCAAGATATGAGTGTCACAGATACTTAGCCTTATCTCTATTATTTAGCGTTTTCAGCGAAAATAGAGGACTTTTAGCGTAAATACAGTGTATTTTAGTAATTAGGCAATCATCCCTTGATATTCTGAAACCAGAGCCTGAAGACAAGTTTTAGAACTCGGTAAGATCTTTCCAACGAGATATTAAAGGCTTCCAACGGCACAAAATAGAGCATGATATGATCGCATCACATTCTACACGAGTTCGGAGTGAAATCAGAAACATTTGTGAATATATGGTTATTCTGTAACTTTTAATTAATGCATTGTAAATGAAGTTGGAACAATAGCTTTAGATCTCCGATCTATCTTTCCAACGAGATATAATACGCTCCAAATGGATGAACACACAGCAAGATATGAGTGTCACAAATACTTAGCCTTATCTCTATGAGTTAGCGTTTTCAGCGAAAATAGAGCACTTTTAGCGTAAATACAGTGTATTTTAGTGATTAGGCAATCATCCCTTGATAATTTGAAACCCGCGCCTGAAGACAAGGTTTAGAACTCGGTAAGACCTTTCCAACGAGATATTAAACGCTTATAACGGCACAAAATAGAGCAAGATGTGATCGCCTCAAATTCTACACGAGTTCGGAGTGAAATCAGAAACATTTGTGAACATATGGTTAATATGTAACTTTTAATGAATGCATTGTAAATGAAGTTGGAAGAATAGCTTTAGAGCTCCGATTTATCTTTCCACTTCCAACGAGATATAATACGATCCAAACAGATAAACACACAGCAAGATATGAGTGACACAAATACTTAGCCTTATCTCTATGATTTAGCGTTTTCAGCGAATATAGAGCACTTTTAGCGTAAATACAGTGTAGTTTAGTAATTAGGCAATCATCTCTAGATATTTTTAAACCAGCGCCTGAAGACAATTTCTAGAACTCGCTAAGATCTTTCCAACGAGATATTAAACGCTTTCAGCGGCACAAAATAGAGCAAGATGTGATCGCATCAAATTCTACACGAGTTCGGAGTGAAATCAGAAACATTTGTGAATATATGGTTAATCTGTAACTTTCAATTAATGCATTGTAAATGAAGTTGGAACAATAGCTTTAGAGCTCCGATCTAGCTTTCCAACGAGATATAATACGCTCCAAACGGATAAACACACAGCAAGATATGAGTGTCACAAATACTTAGCCTTATCTCTATGATTTAGCGTTTTCAGCGAACATAGAGCACTTTTAGCGTAAATACAGTGTATGTTAGTAATTAGGCAATCATCCCTTCATATTTTCAAACCAGCGCCTGAAGAAAAGTTTTAGAACTCGGTAAGATCTTTCCAACGAGATATTAAACGCTTTCAACGGCACAAAATAGAGCAAGATATGATCACATCGAATTCTACACGAGTTCGGAGTGAAATCAGAAACATTTGTGAATATATGGTTAATCCGTAACTTTTAATTAATGCATTGTAAATGAAGTTGGAACAATAGCTTTAGAGCTCCGATCTATCTTTCCAACGATATATAATACGCTCAGATTTGATAAGCACACAGCAAGATATGAGTGTCACAAATACTTAGCCTTATCTCTATGATTTTGCGTTTTCAGCGAAAATAGAGCACTTTTAACGTAAATGTAGTGTATTTTATTATTAGGCAATCATACCTTGATATTTTGAAACCAGCGCCTGAAGACATGTTTTAGAACTCGGTAAGATCTTTCCAACGAGATATTAAACGCTTTCAACGGCACAAAATAGAGCAAGATAAGATCGCATCAAATTCTACACGAGTT